TTTCTGAGATTTAGGCAATATGCTAAAAATTTTAAGCTGAGTTGAATCAAGTTTCAGAGCAGGTTGAGTTTTACCTGCTCAGTTTTAAAACTGACTTAATAACCTCATTACATTCATGTTTATTCAGAAAATTTTTCTAGGAACAAATATATGTTTAATGCAGAAAACTTGATAATCTAAGCACTAACCCAATGATAACCACTGTGAACATCTGGTGGACATTCTTTCAAGGCATTAAGAGTATGGGTGCTAAGACTAGATGTTTTGGATTCAAATTTCACTTTGAGCACATCTAGCTGGGCACAGTTAGTTTGCACAAATTACTCAATCTCACTTTTTTCTCACCTATAAAATGTAAATGATAACAGTTACTACCTCATCAGGTATGGTGAAGAAACGAGGCAACAAATGCAAAACGCTTAAACAGAGCTTGGCACCTGCAATATTATTGTTCTTTCTATACAAGTAGACACATATTTATTCTTCACTAAATGGTTTTCTATCATAAATGCTGATTCATAACCTACTTTAATCACTAGGGAATTTGCTGCAAATATTTTCCTGTGTTAATAAATATATTCTTATTACACACACAGAACCGCTGGTCCATTGCTGCAGGCAGTACTTAAGCACAGGCTGCCAGGCTTTTAAAGCACATGACCTTGCCATTCTGAGCTCAGTTAGAGGAATAAGAAATCAGACATCTTCAAATGGCTAGAAATGGATGTGACCTGGCAACTATACCTGAAGATTGTAACCAATTAAGTACTCTTCTCAGGAAAGCTGAGTATGAGACACACAGAATGAGTCAACAGATAGGTTAGTGATAGACAAGGCAGGAAAAGCACCAAACAAAAAGTGGTAAGCAGAAGCCAAGGCTGAGAAGAGCTTAGAAAGGCAGCCTCCACAGTGGAAGAAAGGGATGGTGACCAGGCTTGATAGCTGCCCTGTGTCCCCACCGTCCATCCAGCCACTGTGAAAAGGCCTGCCTGGGCATCAGGACCTAAGTTTCCAGCTCTGCACAGTCTGGTTGGGCAGCGGCTGTGATACTGTCATATTCTTGTCCCTCAATTAACCGAGGGACCTGTAGATATATGTCTACACCTGGCAATCCAAAAGGGCCTACCTCAACCGCATTGGAGGCGCACGAAGTCAGACACGACTGAAGCAACTTAGCAGCAGCAGCAGCAACCACATTTATGTGGCTGCTCTAGTGGTCACCCCAAAAACTGTAGCACTTCCTTCTTAAGCACTTGCTATGTGTTAAGCACTGGGGATTAAACAGTGACTGAAAAGGAATAGTATCTGGCTACACAGAATGTAAAATCTAGCATAGAAGACAACTAGACAAAAGATATGAATAAAACATGATAAAGTTGATGCTGGATAGGGTCTTCCCCGGTGGTCCAGCGGTTAAGACTCTGTCTTCCAATGCAGGGGGCACAGGTTCGATCCCTGGTCAGGGAACTAAGATCCCACATGCTGCATGGTGAGGCAAAAGAAAAAAAAAAGATGCTAGAAACACACTGCAATGGAACACACAGGGAGAACAAGACGGAATCACAAAGACTGCATGGAGGAAGACCTTCAGGGTGAAGCACAAAATCAGCCTGGTGTGCCGGATACTTCAGATGGCTTGCTCAATACCGACCACCACCAGGTGGACTGCATGATGATCATTCATCTTTGTTTAATTACAGTCTTTTTTTTTTTGGTCCACACTAAGTGGCATGTGGAATCCTAGTTTCCTCACGAGGGATCAAACCCATGTCCCCTACAGTGTCTTAACCACTGAATCAACAGGGAAGTCCAGTGAAGTGACAGCCTTGACTGAGCTATAGTAACTGGACCAGCTTTTCCTTTCAGGACACTCTGAGTCTTGGCCTCATTTAACAGGAAAGGTGAAGGAGGCCAAACATATTTTATGATTTTATAATGTTTAAAATAACTTGGCTTATTTAATGGTAACCTCAATTTTGAAAGTATAATTGAATACCTTATTTCTGACTGGTAATTTTAAGTTGAAAATCTTAGTAAATTTATGTACCTTATGGCAGTGGTCCCCAACCTTTTTGGCATCAGGGACTGTTTTCATGGAAGACAATTTTCCACGAACCAGGAGTAGGAGATGATTTAAGAACACTACATTTATTATACACTTTATTTCTATTATTATTACATCAGCTCCACCTCAGATTATCAGGCATTACATACATCCCAGAGGTTGGGGACCTCTGCACTGTGGCACTATTTAAGACTCATCTTATCTTAGCTGTAAGTTTAATACATGACATTCACAGGACTTTACTGATGAGGAACCTCATAAGATTTTCATTTTTTTTTAAGTCAGACAACTTTAAAAAGCAATCCAGTTAATTAAATTTATAAATGCAATCTGAAACATCTGAAAGTTTTCAATGAACTGGCCTAAGTATTATCCAAATGCCCCTTAAAAATGACTAGTAAAATCTCCTATGGTTATAATACAGCAATCAGATTTATAAGCATTAGGAAAGAACTAAGTTTTTGAATGTTTGCTTTTACAAAGTCATGACATTTTGAAAACTAAATAAATCCCTGAATAGTGATTTCTCCTTACAAAACTACCCTTCAAGAACAATCAAAAACATCTACCTACATCCTCACTGATTCCAAGTTTTATTCTCTGTTAGCAAACATAGAATTGGAAAAGTCAGTCCCTCCATTTTATTTTGACGTAAGCCACTGAAATGTCTGTCTCTGTAATGATACGTTTCACTAATTTATATTCACTATTTTATTTATTTGGTACTTTATTTATGGGCTTCCCTGGTGGCTCAGATGGTAAAGAATCTGTCTGCAATGCAGGAGACCCAGGGTCAATGCCTGGATCAGGAAGGGCCCCTGGAGAAGGAAGTAGCTACCCACTCCAGTGTTCTTGCCTGGAGTCCCATGGACAGAGGAGCCTGGTGGGCTGCAGGCCATGGTGTTGCAGAGTCGGACGCGACTAAGCGACTCACACACTTGCTCTTCACCCTCTCAGCAACGCTGGAGTAAGGAACAGGGCGTGGCATGACTCTTTTGCCTGGAGGGAAAATCTGCTCAAGGTCAGGCAGGATTCTTCACGGCTGAGAACGGCAATCAGGGTTTAATTTCGAGTTTGGGATTCCCTTCAAGCCAGGACGTAGGTAAGTGATGAACATATGAAAAGTATAGTTTAATTATCTGCGCTACACTGTTTACCTTCTAGCTCCCCAACTCCACTTTATCCTCCACTCTCTCCCTCCTTTACCTACTGAAGGCTGGTATGCAATCTCCAGAAAACAAAAGGGTACTGTATATCCTTTCCAACTCCCTCACTGCATTTCCTTTTGCAATCATCTAGTTTTCTACACCTTAGTTGCACTTGTATAACCGAGGGACATTTCAACCGTGGTACTCAGAAACAAAACAACCACAGTAGCAACTAATACAAGCTTTCCTGAGAAAGATGCCAAATCCAAATGTGCTCTACAGAGGTAAAGCTGTCAACTCGTCTCCCCACAACTTCTAAAACCAAGTAGCAAGGTTTGCCCAAGGTCTTGGAATTTTTTTCTTCCTCTCTATTCTAGAGCCATAGTCTACTTCATGTCTTCCAACAACCTACAGAGCTGCAATAACTCTGTCAAACATCACTTTTGCCTTGGGTGGGTGCCTCGGAACCCACAGGAGCCAACTGGATTGAAACCAAAACTATGTAGCTTAGATTCACCAGCTTGCCCTACCACACTTTATTTGAATAGTCAAACCTTTGAGATCCTCCAGAAAGAACTCTGGTAATTTCCAACTGGGATATTTCTTCAGGATTTTTATGTTCCATTTGTCATAGATGCTTGTATTAATTACTTTCTATTCATCCAGCTGTGTACTAGGCACAAGAAGGGAGGATTTAAAATAGGAAACATGATCTTAGTCCTCAGAGGTTACAATATAGTTAAAGATACTAGGATATATGATAAAATAATAGTGTCACGAGCCAACATAATTCTGCAGGACTTCAGAGCAAGGAAAGATTCCTTGAGTATTCTAAAGTAAAATTAGTTTAAGAAGAACAGCAAGGGCTGGACTCAAAAGAAATGCAGAACTCAGACCTTTTCTAAGCTTTATTTCATATGTTCTTAGAATCAGTCTTAAGACCCTTCTGGAACATGGAAATGGACCTATAAAAAGCACTATGTGGCCAAGGCAAGTCAATGGGGCTGGTAAAACTCACATCACTGAGTCAGGACTCCTAGACGAGATAACCTAAGCAGAGCAGGTGTGGTGTTGCCACAAGAGGCTATGGAGAAACATTAGTTCCTTCCTCCTGGTTTTGAACTGCAATTTGTTTCTCAGTTTCACCAACAAAATTGTAAGCCCTTGAAATAAGAGCACCAAGATCTGCCTTCTGACTGTTAATTCTAGAGTATCCAGTAAGATACACTGGGCATGACTCAAGAACTCAAAACATATATGGTGAGTATCATGTGACCAAATAAAAAACAAGATACTACTGTCTCTCAAGCTGCACCTGTAACAGCTTCCGGCAAAATGAACTTCTGCTTTGCCAGTGCTCTGCTACCAGGACCCAGGAGCAAAGGAGAACAAGCGCTACCTTCGCCTCAAGCAAAGGTTAACGAGAATAAGTTGCTTACATCAATGCTGCCTACTTCTCTTATTTCTTAGGGCTGATGAACCATCTGATTCTCAACCTTCTGCCACAGGAAACAGAGGTAGAGCAGGCAGAGATCCAAGGGCAATCAGAAAGAACTGTCTAGTATAATTGCACACATTCACTACTATGATCGCCCCTTGCAGAGAGAGCCTGGTAGACACCACCATGTCACAACCTCACTACCTCTCTGATCAAGGAGGCATGTGGTGAGTGCTGAGCACCTTCTCTCTGTGCCCCTGAGTCCGTTCACACAGCGAGCGGGGATAAAGTGAAGAACTACAGGCCCGTGGTGGGTGCGCGGTGCGGCCACACTGCTCTCAGCGCGTACCTCCTCACAGACTTCACGGACTGCGGCCACGCCCGGCTCCTCCTCGGGCTCCATGCCCCCTCCAGGGACGATCCACCGGTCTGGATGACGACTGCTGCTCACAAGTAGCACCTGAAAGTCAGAGGTCATACAGGCCGTTAAACACTCAAAAAGCCACACTCATTCAAGTTCAGAGTTTAAACGCCACATAAATAAAAGTACCTAGGACCCATTCTTTGTTGATACCTCTCCAAATCACTTGTAAGGTAGCTTCCGTTTCTGTCTGAAAAAGCAGACAACCTGTCTAGTAACAGCAGAAGGGCATCTGAACCAGTGGCCATTAGATGTACCCCTCAGATTCTCAGTCACTTGTCCTGTCAGTCCTTTCCTTTGTTCCTTTCTCTTTAGCCCTTTGAACATGCAACTGACAAAAACACTCCAAACAAAACCAGAGACTGTCACTGATGCACTGATGAGCTTGTGAACACTGTGAAGAGCTGGCCCTGGCCCCACAGTCCCAACCTTCCCTGCGAGGTTCTCACTGCTGTGTCTCCCAGTTCCCGCTCCATCTGACGGCCACAGGCCGACACTACACATAACCCGAAGCTCTAAACATGCGCTGAGAACCTGATTCTCTCACCAACATGAGGCCTAGGAAGATTTCTTGTTGTCATTCTTTCAGCTGAGGTAAAACTGGAATTCTTTTACTAGGAAACTTTTTATCAAGAAATGACACTTAATGGTCATCACTAAAATGTCTACAAATAGGGCTTCCTTGCTGGCTCAGTAAAGAGACCTGGGTTTGATCCCTGATCCGGGAAGATCCCACACGCCAAGGAGCAACTAAGCCCATGCGCCACAACTACTGAAGCCCTTGCGCTCTAGAGCATGCGCCTGGCACCAAGAGAAGTCACTACAATGAGAAGTCCACACACCACAAGTGGAGAGTAGCCCCCGTGCCCTGCAACTGGAGAAAGACTGTAGGCAGCAACAAAGACCTGGCGCAACCAAAAACAATTTAATAATAAATAAATGAATGCTGAAGAGGATGTGGAGAAAAGGGAACTCTCCTACACGACTGGGTGGGAATGTAAATGAGGGCAGCCACTAGGGAAAACAGTATGGAGGCTCCTTAAAAAACTAAAAGTAGTGTTGCCATATTATAATCCAGCAATCCATCTCTTGGGCATATACTCAGACAAAACTACACTTCGAAAAGACACACACCCCTATGTTCACAGCAACACTATTTACATTAGCCAAGACAGAAACAACCTAAATGTCCATCAACAGATGAACGGGTAAAGAAGACGCAGGGTGTGTGTGCACGTGTATACACATATACGTGCATATAGTGGAATGTTATTCAGTCCTAAAAACAGAATGAAGTGATGCCATTTGTGTGACATGGATGGACCCGAAGATTATCATACGAAGTGAAGTAAGTCAAAAAAGGAAGACAAATACCATATGATATCACTTGTATGTGGAATCTAAAATATGACAAAAATGAACCTATCAGAAACAGACTCTCAGACACAGAAAACAGACCCGTGGTGGTGGGGGGGTGGGGAGGTCATCCGGTGTGGAAGGGAAGGATTAGGAGTTTGGGATTAGCAAATGTAAACAACAAGCTCCTGCACAGCACAGGAAACTATATGCAGTACCCTGAGACAAACCACAAGGGAAGGAACAGACACGCGGGTAACCGAGTCCCCGTGCTCTGCAGCAGAAACTAAGGCAGCACGGCACACCAACTACACTCCAATAAAACTAATTTTTTAAAACAGAAGTGAAAAGAAACCAAACAAACACAAAATATTGATATAGAACACAGGTTACTAATTCAAACTTAACCAGAATTCTAATCATGGTTAAAATAAAATCTAGAACTTCCCTAGTTTCTTTCCCTTAACCTCTCCAGGACAGATGTTAAACAGAGTTAGCTTTACTCCTCATTTGGAGATGGAGTTGGGTTGGTATTATTTCCAGAACTAAAGGAATCCTCAACTGCTCCCTAAACAATCACTTCTGATGATGTCTTCTGAGCCTCAGGCCCTATTCCAAACTATATTCCCTATCTACCCTTCCACACCCCAGTACTTAACTTCTATTCTGCAGTCACCTTTCCTGCCTGAAAGAAACCACTCCTTCCTCTCTGGCCCTCATGGGTCCCATGACTGACTGCCAGTTAACTTGCCTCCAGTCCTCTCCCATTTAAGTTCTCTGCAACCATCACCCCTTGGAAACTACCTTTTTCTTCATCTTTAATCCCTTTCTTCTTGTCATGATAAGATTCTCCTGATGCTCCACTACAAAATCCATGATCTGCAGACTAAGATGGGATCACAAGATAAGAGGGAAATCCATGAATCCATATACAGTCACCACTATACAGCCCATGGACTGAGAAAATACTGTCTTAAATTTACAAGCACCATTTATTTTAATGCATATAAACTCTGCTTTGATTAATACAACACGGAATAACTTAAAATAATATAAAATTGGGACGTCTCTGGCAGTCCAGTGGTTAAGACTCTGCACTTCCACTGCAGGGGGCGCAGGTTTGATCCCTAGTTGGGGAATTAAGATCCCAAGGGCTGCCAAGAAACAGCCAAAAAAGAAAAAAGAAAAGAAAATCCGTAACAGTTCTTGGTTGGTGTGTATGTATGTTTAATCAAAGGATGTTAAAAGTACAACGTGAGGCAATTCCCTGGTTGCCCAGTGGTTAGGGCTCAGGTTCAATCCCTGGTCAGGTAACGAAGATTCTGCAAGCCCAGCAGCATGGCCAAAATAAGAAGGAAGGTAGGACAGGAGGATACGAGGACAGGAGGATGGAAGAAAAAAGGAAGGAAGTACAATGTGGCAGTTTCACAAAATTATGCTTTAAAATAAGAGTCCTCACTGGACTCCTACTTCACATCATATACAAAAATTAACTCCAAATGGAACTTAAACCTAAGAGCTAAATCTATAAACAGGGGTAAAGCTTAATGATCCTGGATTGCTAAGATAGGCCAAATTCTTAAGACATGACAACAAAAACCTGAGATACAAAACAAAAAATGAATGAGTTAGACATCATCAAAATTACAATCTTCCGTGCATCAAAGGACATTATCAAAAATGTGAAAAGATGATCTACAGAATGGGAGAAAATTCTTGGAAATTATCTGATAAGCGTCTGGTATCCAAAATATATAAGCAACTCTTACAACTCAAGGAAAAAATGACCAACAGCATTTCTCCAAAGAAGATATACAAAGAGCTGACAAGCACATGAAAAGATGTGATCGACATCATTAGTCACTAGAAAAGTACAAAGTAAACCCATCACGAGATACCACTTTACACCTTCTAGAATGGTTATAATTTTTAAAATAACAAGTACTGACAAGGATGCAGAGAAACTGGAATCTTCATACACTGCTGGTAGGAATGTAAAACAGTTTAGGCACTGCAGAAAACAGGTGGTTCCTCCAAAAGTTAAACATGAAATTACCATCTGATCTAGCAATTCTGCTCCCAAGTATATACCATACCCCAAAGAACTGAACTGAAAACAGGTACTCTAACCCTCAGATACAAATGCTCATGGCAGTATTATTCATAATAACCAAACAGGAGAAATAACTCAAATGTCCACCAATGCATGACGGGATAAACAAAATGTGGCATGTACATAAAAGGATTAGTTTTCAGTCATAAAGAGAAATAACATTCTGATAAATGTTACACAGTGGATGAACCTTGACACCATTGTGGTTAAGTGAAAGCCAAACTCAAAAAAAAGTCACATAATGTATAACTTCATTTATATAAAATATGCAGAATAGGTAAATACACAGAGACAGAAAGGAGACTGGTGGACGCCAGGGACTGAAGGAAGGGAAGAATAGGGAGTAACTGTTTAATGGGTATAGGGTTTTATTTTGGAATGCTGACTGTTTTGAAACTAGATAGAAGCAGCAGTTGCTAAATGCTACCGACTTACTCACTTTAGAATGGTTAATGCTATGTGAACTTCAGCTCAATAAAATAAAACTAGTTTTAAAGTCACAGCAATTTTTTAAAAGCTTAAATAGTGCCACCACTATCTTGCTCAGAGTCTACACTCCAGAGGAGTGGCCTTCCAGAAGGTTATCCTTAGTTTCGTTATTATCTCAAATCATTCCCGTAAAAGATAAAGGAGATCACTGCCATACCCATTCTTCTCAAAAACTGCCCAATTATACATTTTGAAAATTTTCTGATTAAAAAAATAAACCCAAATATAAACACATTTATTAATTCAAGCCAAAAAGCTAAAAAAAAAAAAAGTCCTCCAAAGACTTTTAGGTAATGTCATACCTATTTAATCTGCAAGGGAGATTCCAGAAGGAAAAGTAGAAAAATGGGTTAATCCTTCACTGACTTGGTATATAAATAACAACATGTAGTCTTTCTTCCTACAGTTCTCCCACTTCTTGGCAGTGTTTACCAGCCATTCTAAACCTAATCATTCACTTCAAAGGCTGATTAGGGCCATCCAATTAAGTTTCAGTCGAAATGAAAGAACTTTATAGGGACATTTCAAAGTTAAAGCAATGAAAAAGAAACTGTACCATAGAGTATAATTTAATGTCTAAATATCAATTAATGTAAAATATTAGCTAGTAAATCTAGCCAGTGTTGAGTGCTTTTTACATTCAAAGCATGACTCTATGAGGTAAGACTACAACACTGAGGCTGGAGAAAGCCAGCCGCATTACTTTGTAGTCATACTTCAAAGCAAACACTATTACCAGCAAATAGTTCTTCTCCTCAGAAAGTTTCCTTGACAACCCATTGAAAATTTATTGCAAAAACTGAAAACAAAATATTCTTTACTTTCACCAGAGACTTTACTCCTTCCTTCCTTACAGTAAGTGTTTTGCTCAGTAAATTCTTATTCTGAAGCTTGACTTTTAAATACAAATTATCGGAAAAGAAATTGAATGGCAAAGCTCCTAAAAGATTCTGAAAATGACGCTCTAAGGGAGAAAAAAAAATCACCATTTATTCAACAAATATTCATTAAGCACTGTAAGGAGCCAGGAACTGGAGATGCAGATTAGAACCTCTGCAACTCTGAGGCAGATCAAAGTGGG